TCTGACGTTCTTTTCCCTATTCCGTCGTGGCCTCAGATCAGGGGCCCCAGGTGCTGCGAAGCAGCTGTCTTGTCTGATTTTCCTGGTAACTGCAAAGAAGTGCTTGGGAAGGGCAGCAGAAAGCCTCCTTAAAATGAGCTGTGGTGCCAAGGCGCTGCTCTGGAAAGGAATGGGAGATCCAGGAGGAGAAACCGGAGGGAAAATTATTATTCCCGCCCCATCCCCTTGGGCCCCTCAGGGTCAGAGCTGGTTGAGAGCACATGACCCTGTGGTGGTCGCCCTCCCTCCCCACCACCACTCGTGATTGCTGCCTTCTACTTCCTCTTCCTCCCTGCTGTTTCCTCTTTCCCTTCTTACTGAGCAGATTGGTACCTCCCTGGCTTTGGGCGGGGCTGTCTGACCTAGAGCCCGGGAACTGGTCTGGAATGGTCTGTCAAGGCCTTATTTCTTCTTCAAACTGTACCAACCGAATGCTGAGATCAGAGTGGAGCTGTCCCCAAGTAATAACAGAATTGAGGACGGACACCAGGGGTAGAGTCCCCGAAGCCCACCACTCCCCCATCTGGCTGTGCCTGAGTTGGTCCTTGGGTCGTGGTGGGGGAGGGGCAGTACTGCTGTTCTCCTTTTGGCCTCCGGCTCATGCCCCCTACCCTGGATCCTTCATGCTCAGGAGAGTGGTGGATGAGGGTGAGGCGTGGGGCTAGGCCCGTAGAGAATCTTGAGAGGAAGATCGCTGGGCAGGACCACAACTCCTCCACCATCAGCACATTTCCATCTGTGCTGTCTGCATAGCGTTGACCACCTCTTCCAGACCCTTCCAACCCTCACACTCTTCCACGTTTTCCACTTGCCCAAATAAAACATCATGCTGTAGCTGTAGCTTAAAGCCTTGTCTTTTCATTCTGTTTGAGCACTCGGGGGTTCCCTTACAGAGCTTCCTTCTCAAAGCTTTCTTCTTTCCTTAAAGTGATCATTATCTTATCTATTCATTTATCCTATAAACTCCTGTGGCTTCTTGTGGCTACCTGCCAATGGCTGGAAAGGATCTTGGGACCAAGCCCTGAGTCAAATTGATCTCTCCGAGCAAGCTCCTGAGACCCAGCTGGGGGAAGGGGAACAAGTAGAGGATTCCTTGGATTGACTTTCTGCCCCCAAGAGGGGTTTGTGCCCTCAGTCCTGACGGGCCCTCCCAGATGTGGCCTGTTCCTGTCCCATCCTGTGTGCTGGGAGGCCTGGCTCAGGGCTCTGCCCCATGCTGTCTGTTCCAGGCTGGCCTCCCCCTACCAGGGTGTCTCCCAGTGGCAGTGGGGGATTTGGCAGGGGGTGGGTGGTGGCACTCTCGCCATCGGCCTGTTCTTACTGTTCCCAGCCTCTATCCTTTGCAGATTTGCTGAGTCCCAGAACAGGGCACTTCCAAGGACAGGCCACCGAGTCCCTTTCCTCAGGGCAAGTGCCAAGCTTACCTGCAGCCACAGCCAGCCCAGCCTGTCACATGGCTACCTGAGCGGACCCTTACTAGCAGCCGCTGGCTGAGGCAGGGGGAGGTAGGGAGTGGTTGATGAGGGACTGGCCTTACAGGGGGGTAGCGATGTGGTCGCAAAGCAAGGAGTCAGGATGCAGGTATGCGGGTGGGGGTGGGGTGTTGACTGGGTAGCTACTGCGGAAAGGGGGCTCCTTTCCACCGTCTCCCAAGGCCAATATCCTACTGCTGTGCTGTTTCTTGGAGTTTTTTGTTGTTGTGCTGGTGGTGATAATAGGTCCTTTGAGGTTTTTGTTTGTTTTTAACCCCTTGCTGCTTTGGGACACATTGTTCCTTGTCCTTACCTCAGAAGAAGTCCTAGTGCAAAGTCTTGATAAGGTTGGTATTTGGACTGTCAGCTGGCAGTTAAGAGATAGCTCGTTAGCCTCTCCATCTAGCCCAGTCACTGAGTGTCCAGTGTTGGGAGGTGGGGGAGGTGGGACTCTGCAAAGTGCCACTTTTTGCTAACAAGGATTTAGAGGATGGTGGGACAGCCGGCCTCACCTGGAACAGTATGGGGGCCTCACCGTGCACGTTCCTTCGTGCCTAGCATGTTTGCCCAGCCTGGCCTGCCACCCGGGCTGCCATCCGTCCCCTCACAGCACCCCCCACCTCCCCAGGCCAGCTGTGTATATTTCCCCGCTCCCTTCCTTGGGCCTCTTGATTCTGAAGAAACGGTTCAAGAGAAGAGAAGTGAAACTTCTTCTTCACGCCCAAGCGACCATCGCTATCTTTCCTGTGAGAGACTATGAGTTTGGCAGCCTTTGCCTCAGCCTAGCTCAGCCCTTCACCTGATTGATGACCCTAGTCCCCTTTGAACCGTGGCACCTTGGCCTTTTCCTCAGAATAGCTGCTAAAGCAGAATGGAATGGAAGGAAGACTGTGGAGTGAAGATGGATTGGGTGAACAGGTGCTCTGCCCGGGTAGCCATGGGATTCTGAGCTCATCCCACTGCCTCTTTGGAGTCCAGGAAGGAAGTTCCAAAGGGTATCCATGCCGGGCCTGGCATCACAACACATTTGATCCTCCTGTCCCCCCTACCCCCAGAATCATGCCCTTCTGCTCTCTTGGGCATCAGGTTTTCTACTGGAGGTTGGGGTCAGAGCTGGGAGAAGGGGCAGGCAAGGCTGCTGGAGGGGGGCAGGCTGGAATCTCACAGATGAGGATACCAGTGTGGGCCCCTGTGGATCCTCTGGATCCGCTCCCAAGGGAGCACATGAGCAGGCCACTGAAGGCCAGAGTCTCTGCTCCATCACGTCACAAGCTTGGAGTTGAAGCAGAGTGATGGTGGGCAGTGCATGTGAGAAGAGCAGTGTGGCTGGAAACCATGCTAGACCTTTAGGCCCCTCGTTGGCTCTCACCAGCTCCTGAGAGGGCTTCCCAGGCAACACCAGGCTCTCTAGCTGGCAAAGGCCTTCCTCACTGCTGGGCCTATCATGAGAGAACAGAGTCGGGAGCCTCAGTGGGGCTACAAGGATCTCTCAGACCCAGAGGAAATCTGATTTGTCTCCATGGTCAGTGGCTGTATCCATGTAGCAGCCAGGATAGGCTCAGCTGAGCCCTGCAGACGGGGGTGGGGATCTTAAAGATGGTACAACGGGGACCTAGGGGCTAGGGTGAGAGTAATGTTGTGTTCACCTGTCTTTGAGATAGATGTGGTCGGTGCTATCATCCATGTGCAGCTGATGAGGAAACCAGAGGGAGAAAAGATTTAGGAACTTGCATTTGGTTACACAATACATTAGAAGCATCACTCAAAGCTTTTAGCTTTTTTCCTGAACCAAGTAGCTTCCCAGCCAGGGCACTAGACCGGTTATCTGCAGGGTATAGTTTTCTTTCATCCATTACTCTTTGAAGAAGGGCCACCTTCTCAGAGAATTTCCCCCAGATTTTACAAGTCCCTGAACTTGGAATTATTAACAAGTCCTTCATAGGAATTATGAAGCATATGCCGATTGGTGGGACCTGGAAGGCCACTAAGCCTTCCGATGTCAGTCACTGTAACAGTCACTTGGAGTAACCCCACATTCCCTGAGGCTCAAGTCCCTGAAGGACCTCTGTGGCTACCTTGGAAACTGGTAGCCAGAGGGACCTGTTTGTAGAGAAGCATAAAATCCAGGCTAAATAGTTGGAACTTCACTCTTAGCAGAATGGAGAGCCACTGAAAAAATGTGTAGCCAGGTGACGGAGGGTGTGTAACTACATTCTCTTCAGAAGATACACTGTGAGGTAGTGGAGAGAACGGAGTCAGAGAACCCAGGTAGGCAGCTCAAGTCCAGGGTGAGGTAAGAAGGGTCCTGGGAGCCCAACCTAAATTCAGGCTCTTCTGAAATTCCCTTGTATTTCACAAGCGGTAGCCTTCATGACATGTCTGGGGGAAGTGAGTTTGGGGTTTGGAGGCAGATCTCTAAAGACGTCAGAGTAAGCCTCCGGTGTCCTGCCCTTCAGGTTCATGGAACCGAGGGATGGAAAGGGCTTCAGGGCCCCTCCCACCCTTCCCCACCCTTCTCCATGAGATCGTGAATAAACCAAGGCTCTGGCTCTTTCCTAATGTCTAGCCTTTTCTCCTGGGTTGGGGGTCCGTTTTGAGGTCTATTTTCCAAGTACTTCCTGGCTCCTGGTGGCTGACTCAGCTCAGCTGATGCTCTGCTAGGGGCGCAGACGCTGACTCAGGAGGACGTCGAGGCCCTTTTCCCAGGCTCCCAGGAGAAGGGCAGTGGCCGGGCGTGTGGTGGAAACTTCAGTGGTGCCTGGATGAACTGTTCTTTCCATTCCAGACCGGTCCTTGGGATGAGAAGTGGGGGTAGGAGAGGGTACATGTGATGTGTGAGCCACAGATGGAAAGAATGATCCTTCTGTCCAGTGGGATAGACCAGATCTGGCCTGGGAAGAGGATGTGGATTGTGTCACCAGATTTCCCACTTTTGGCTACTGCCCTAACTGGACTGCAGCAGGTGCTGTCTCTGCTGTGTTCAAGGCTTGAGAGGAGTTGAGCTCATTTTAGAGACAGACCTTCTCCAGTGTCAGCCTCCCACCTGCTCCCACCATTTCTGGTATTCTTATTAAAAACAATTCTACTTCGCTGCCACCATGTCTCATACAGGCAGACACAGAGGCGTCCTGACCTTGGCGAGGTTAAAGGATAATAGAGGTGTGGGGGGGTGACAAGAGTCGGGGGTGGGGGGAGGGGCAGGCGTAACTTGTGTTGTCTAGGGTGCTGGTACTGAGCCAGCTCTGCTGAAGGGCCTCAGGAGGTGGGACCAGAGAGATAGGGCTCCCTGAGTGCCCTGGACCCCGGGCATCTGTTCCTACCCTCCCCTTGGCCTCTGTCCAAGGAACTGTCTGGAGGGGAGACTGAAGGTAGAGAGTTGGTGGTGCTGAGGCCCTGGGGTTGCCAGAGCAAGTCCCGTGGGGATACCGTGTCTGAGCTTCTGGCTGAGGCCAACTTCCTGCTGACCCAGATGCCTGCCTTTTCCTGCAGGTTCCGAGGCTTCATCCTGCTACTCACCTTCTTCATTTATACCTGTTATCACATGTCCAGGAAGCCCATCAGTGTTGTCAAGGTGAGGCTGGCCTGGTGGTAAGGAAGAATGCAGGAGATGCTGGGCCTCAGCTGAAATAAACTCTGGTAGAATGGTCTGGAACTTGGCCCATAACCATCCTTATTCCCTCAACCATAGTCAGGAGACGACCCCTTCCCATGGCCAAGCCCCATTCTCAGTAGTTGTTCTTCCTATGGAACTTTCCCTGTGTGTTCCTTTTGACAGCAGTGTTGCTGGCTGTGGGTGGAATGAGAGGGCAGGGACCCTGGGCTCTATGGGCTCTGGTCATAGACTCCTCTTCCCCTTCACTGAGGGCCTGATGCGGCCACTTGCCCTATAACCAGTCACAGTAGGCAGGATGTCATGTCAGCCGAAGGAGCATGGAGCCCAGTGGGGAGGCAGTGGTGCTGGTGTGGTTGGGGAGGCAGATTGCTTGCTGATGACCCCTGACCCACACGTCCTATTGCCTTTTCAGAGCCGTCTGCACCAGAACTGCTCGGAGCTGATCAAGCCCATTAATGACAGCCACAGTCTCAACGACACTACGTGGTGCGACTGGGCTCCCTTTGGTACGAACAGGGCAAGTTGCTCTTCCCCACTCCCCAGCTCCCCTCCCCAGGAAGAGTTTGTCCAGTGCCGGTAAGGACTTCTTGCAGGGGCAGCCAAGCACCAGCTTTCTGTCTCTGCCATCTGTTTTCAGACAAGAACAACTACAAGGAGTTACTGGGGGCCGTGGACAATGCCTTCCTTGTGGCCTATGCCATCGGCATGTTTATCAGGTAAGAGACTGGCAGAGCCTGTGACTGTCCCCGAGTCAGGGGGGATCAGAGCTGCTGCCTCCCCTTGACGAACCTGCGGGCAGCAGGGTTGAAGAGAAAAAGCCGATGCCCCGCCCCAGGTGGAAATGAGACCAAGACTTGGGCACATACCACCAACCCCTGGCCATCCTCATTTCCTTACCATGGTCACCCGGCCGCCTCCGTCACCTGGCAGACAGACTCTTCTTTTCCTGGAAAGTCTTTCCTGGATGCTCCTTCTGAGGTTATTCTCTCAGATGACAGTGGTGGTGGTGTGGCTGGACAAATACGGCTTGTCCTGAACTGGGATCCTTCAAAGGTAGCCCTGCACACAGAAATGGCAAGGAATACCACTCTCCTGTCCTGGGCCTAAATTAGCCCAACGAGCATGGCTTTTACATAGCAATCCTGGTGTTTGTTGCCAGGGACCAAAGATGAAAAGGTAGGGTACTGCTTTCCAAAGGCTCACAGCCTAATGGAGGTGCCCAACTCATCAGCAGCTGGTTACAAACCAGTATGGTGGCTCTCTGAGGGAGGTGGCTACAGGCCACTCTGGGGCTCAGGGGTAGTCACCTCATGCCAGCTGGGATTAGAGAAGAGGGGTTAGGGAAGACTTCTGGAAGGAGATGATACTGAGGAAGAGCAGTGGAGAAGTAGCTGGGCAGAAGGACTAGCATGGGCAAAGAAAGGCAGGTGGGAAACAGCACGATCTGACTGGGGGTGTACTCCTAACAGCTTTAATAACAGAGTAAAATTTGAAGTAGTGGCAGGAGATGGGGCTGAAGAGCCAGGCTATTGTGTGCCAGATGCGGGCACAGGAGAGCCATTGAAGGTGGTCCCCAGGGGTGTCATGTTCGGATATAGCCAGATATTTCAGACAGATCATTCTGGGCATGATGGAAGATAGTACAGATGGAGGACGAGACTGAAGGCCTGCTCACTCACACTTAGGAACAGATTTGACAATGGCCCAGATGAGCTTTGAGAAGTTGAGTTAGAACAGCAATAATAGAGCTGAAGAGAGCTGATGTCCTGGAGAACTGTTTAAGAGGTAGGGTCTTGGAGGCTGAATTGCAAGGCATGGGAGGGGAGGCAGGAAGCAGGAAGCTCCATGGTCTCTGGCTGGAGGGGCTCAAGATACTCACTCAGAAGAGGAGCTCACTCAGAAGATACTCACTCACCACACTCACTCAGAAGAGGGCTCAGGCCAAGGGACTGAGTGGGGAAGGAGGGAGAGTTCAGGGTGTTGAGTTGCAGATGTTTCGGGGGTACCCAAGTTAAGATGTCCAGAAGGCATCTGGGTGTGATCCTGCAGGGTGAGAGATCAGGATGGAAAATATGTGGTTGGAGCTATTTTATATCTAGGTGGTAGTTACAACCACAAAACTGATGCAGGAAACTGTGCCCCAGGGAAAGTAAATGTCCAGTGGTGAGCCAAGGGGAGCGAGGGGAGGAGGCCACGGAGACACTTTAAGGAGCATGTTCAGCAGTGGCAGCTAAGGCAGGGAAGTCCAGTGAGTGGAGGCCGGAGAGCATCCCTGGCGTGTGGCAGGCAACACAGAAGTCATTGGTGGTCACCTGGGCCAGAGCTGTGTCAGTGGTGTGGCGGGGGGAGGAAGTATGTGGCAGAGGTGAGGAGTGCAGATGGTGACTAACCACAAATCCTACTCTCTCTTCTCCAGCGGGATTTTTGGGGAGCGGCTCCCCCTCCGTTATTACCTTTCAGCTGGAATGCTGCTCAGTGGCCTCTTCACCTCGCTCTTTGGCCTAGGATATTTCTGGAACATCCACATGCTCTGGTACTTTGTGCTCATCCAGGTACGAGCCTCTGTCTTGCATTCAGACCTCTGCTCCATCATGGGAAGGATTGCAGAGGCTGCTAGTCCTTCCCAGACACCCCCAGGTGGTGGCAGATTTGGGCTGGGGATAACTTCTTCACAGCCCAGTGCTCCTCTGTTGAGCCTTGGGGTCCTACTTCCCACTTCTCAGGATCACACAGATCCTCCCTAAGTCTGCACTGAGCACTACCCCGAGGTCCCTGAGATGCCTGAGGGGCTCGGTCTCTGCAGGGAAGGATCTTGGGCCAGAGGAGAAACCAACCTGTGGCATTAGGGTGTGTGTGAGGGAAGAGGGCACTTGCAGGGTGGGCCGTGGAGACCCCTCGGCCTGGGAGGGGTCAGAGCTGGGAGTTTGCTGCCCGGCCCAGGCCTGTCCCACTAACTTCTGGTCTCCCTGCAGATCTGTAATGGGCTTGTCCAGACCACAGGCTGGCCCTCTGTGGTGACCTGCGTTGGCAACTGGTTCGGGAAGGGGAAGTGAGTGTGGCGAGGGAGGAGGAGAGGGGGGTTACCCTGGGAGGGCTGCGGGGAGTGAGGAGGTCACTCACGGTCCCGGTATAATTTCAGGGAGAAGGGTTAGAACCTGTGTCTGTCTCGCTGACTTTCACGTTTAGTCACATTTGGTGACTAAAAAGCAGTGCCGATTTGCTCCTTGATAAGGTTTTAATCCATAAAAACAGGCGACCTTAGTTATGCTTTCGCCTCATAACAGACAAATTCTCATCTTGCATGAAGATAAAAATGGAGACTGTTAAAACTTTATTATTGTTGTTATTATTATTATTATTTTATACTTGAACTGGCTTTCGTGCAAAAAAAAAAAAAAAAAAAAAAAAAAAAAAAAAAAATGTTGCTTTAGAGCAGAGATTGTCCAGCTCAGCCCTACCGACATTCGGGCCTGGATCATTCTTTGCTGTGGGGCCACCTGACACACTGTAGGGGGTTTAGCAGCACCTACCCACTAGATGCCAGTAGCACACCTGGGGCTGGGCCAGTGCAAAATCTCCAGACTTTGCCAATGTCCCCTGGAGGCAGAGTGGCCCTGGTGGAGGACCAGCAGCCATAGTGGGGTTGGGGGTGGGGGGGCTTGATGTCCTCAGGACAGGGAGAGCTCCATCTGGAAGCCCCCGCGTGTGCTGCCTCTGGTTGCTGGCAGAGGGGAGCAGGACCCCAGGCCTTGTTGCCACTTGCTTGACGCTAGGCAAGCCTTCCGCCTCCTCCCTGACTGGTTGTCTTTGGGCTTGGAGGCTGGAGGCAGCCAGCGTTTTGCACTTGTCCAGGGCAGTTGTGATGAACCCTGTGCTTCTCTGACTTTTTCTTTCTTTCTTTCTTTCTTTCTTTCTTTCTTTCTTTCTTTCTTTCTTTCTTTCCCCTTCCTTTCCCCACCATTGCTCCCTCCCCTCCAGGCGGGGGCTTATCATGGGCATCTGGAACTCACACACATCTGTGGGCAACATCCTGGGCTCCCTGATCGCTGGCATCTGGGTGAATGAGCAGTGGGGCCTGTCGTTTGTGGTGCCTGGCATCATCACCGCTGCTATGGGTGTCATCACCTTCCTCTTCCTCATCGAATGTGAGCGGACCCCTCCCTCCCCACAGGGCTCAGAACTGAACCTCCCTCTTCTCCTCTCGGGGTCTGAGAGAAGGCAGCTGGCTCGAGGGGGAGGATTACTGGTCGTGGAGCTGGAGGACCTGTATGTGGCCCGGGACAGACAACCTCTCTGGGCCTCAGTTTTCTCATTTGTAAATTAAGAATAATAGCATCTACTTCCTAGGGTTGGGGGTTGGTTAAGGTGTCAGTGAGACGTACAGTTGGGACGCACGGCCTGTAGTTGTGCTCGGCAAGTGCCAGCTGACTCTGAAGTGTGAGAAGGGGAGAGTGGGGGTGACGGGACACTCCCCATCCGCTGTCCTCTTCCCCATTCCCTGTCCTCTTCCCCATTCCCTGACAGCCTTCGGAGACAGAGCTAGGCCGGGCAGGGTGGCCACTTTGTAGCAAGAGAACGGAAGTCCACAAGGCAGTAGTGACCCAGGTGGTTGTTAGGGGAGCCACACTTAGAATGTGTCTCTCGAGCCTGGGTTGCAGGCTCTCTTGTGCTGGGAAGTAGACTGGCCACCTTAGGGAGCGGGGGCTGGCCCGCCAGGAAGCTTCTTAGCGGGTTGTTTTTTTCAGACCCTGAAGATGTGGACTGCACGCCTCCTCAGCACCACACGAGTGTGAGTGCCCCCAGCCCGACCCCCACCCTGCCAATCCATCCTCAGAGACAGGTCCCAGAGGGGACTAGGGAGTTGGAGGAGGGGCTCATGTACCCATGAGCTCAGTGGGTTACCTCACGGGCTCAGTGTCAGGCCCTCAGGTTGGCTCCCTGACAGCCTGATCGGGCCTCGCCGGATGGTAGTTCAGTCCAGGAGAGGAGCGTGTACCTCTTCCAGCCTGGGAACCCCTACCTCTCACGTGGCTTATACCTCCAGCTGGTGGGAGGTGGTACGCAAATGTGCTCACAGCAAGGGCTCATCTCTGTTCAGGATGGGTTGGAAGAGAACCAGCACAACCCTGAGGACCTTGGGAGTGGTCCGTACACTAACAAGGAGAGCAGCCTGGAGACCCCCGCCAGATGCTCCAAGGAGCCAAGCACTCAGCCTGCCGCCATCAGCTTCCTCGGGGCGCTCCGGATCCCGGTGAGAAGCTTGCAGGATGGAGGGAAGAGAGAGGCTCTCTAGATTTCTCTGCTGGATGTCAGGAGATAGGGGGATGCTCGGGGTGACCTATGGCTTCCAGAATTTCTTTACATGAGATGCTTAGGGTGAATAGCCAACTTGGGGGGAGTAACATGGAAGGCTTGCCTTGACACAGCACTGGAGCATAGGCACATCGCTTTTACTGGGATTGGATGGAGGTGTACTTGAGGTTGCTTTGTGGCTAGGTGGTGGCAGCCCTGGGGTGCTGAGTCAGCCCCTGGGGCTACCCTGGGCCAGGGATCTCTTGTATCTCTTCCCTCATGCCTTCTGTTATGCTCTCCAGGGTGTGGTCGAGTTCTCTTTGTGTCTGCTCTTTGCCAAGCTGGTCAGTTACACCTTCCTCTACTGGCTGCCCCTCTACATCTTCAATGTGGGTAAGTAAAGGGGAAGAAGAGGTGAGGATGGGGGTCTCTGAGGAGGCCAAGGCCATCTTTGGCAGGGAGAGGAAACCTGTCATGGGATGTGCGTGACTCCAGAGTATGGGCAGGATGTCTGCTGAACCTCTCGTAGGGCAAAAGGAGACTAAAAAAAAATTTGGTTAAGTAGGAAGTTAGACCTTGTACACAGCCTCAGAGACCCCAATGCCAGCCACCTCTCCTCCTTGGAGATTAGGAACACCCAAGTTTTATTCTGTAATCCTGCCTAACTTCTCTAGCCTTAAGTACAGGAGCACCCACCTCAGGCCTGCTTGGCTCCCAGATGAGTGGATAGATGGTGCTAGGAAGGATCTGCCTTTGAATGCCTCCCCAAACCCCAGGAGAGGGCCTAGTGAGCTACCCACTGCCTGCTTTTCTCACCCCAGGGGCTGCCGGGAGCCTCCTGGGATGGATGGCTTGTGCCTAGGTCAGCTGCACTGCCCTCCTCTGGGCCCCCTCTCCCCCGCCCCTGACCGCAGAGCCCTGCAGGGCTGAGGCCCTCTGCTCCAGGGCTTTGCTGCTCCCTCCAAGCCCTGTGGGAGGGCCAAGGCTGCTTTACATGCACCGTACTTGCTCTGAACGGGATGCTGCAAGGCCAGATTATGCAAGGCCAAATCCCAGCTCATATCTTGCCCAACAGCCCTGTCATAGGGCCTCTTTCAAAGATAGAAGTAGAGCATCAGGGTGGCTCCGTGGACACTGTGACTCTTTGTTTTGTGGCCTTGTATGAGTCAACCTTGAGGATTAACCTACAACTCAAGCTTCTGGACATTCCTTTTTCTAATCCTAGGACAAGGGCTAAGACCTGAGGTCCCCATTTGCCTGTGAGTCTCCTTCCTGGCTCTGTTTATTAGCAGAGGTCTCAAATGGGTGGGAAGGCTCCTGGCAGAGGAGGCCAGTTGTTCAGGAGCAGAGCAGGAATGTGGCTGGTTGAGCTGCGGCTCAGTGAGAGTTGTGTCCCCAGGGTAAAAGTGGCCCAGTGGGACAGGGTTCTTATGGGCCAGATCCCAGTGCTTTCAGGGGAAGGCTTTTCCAAGGGGTCAAGGCCAACCTGCAGGGGGAGAAGGAATTACAGGATGGGATGGAGGGGCAGAAAGGTGTCCAGTCCAAAAGTGCTGCAAATTTACTTGTGACCCTGGCCAATGACTTCCCCATGACTCTTCACTCCTTCATCTGAAAAAGGAGGAAGTGGACCGAATCAGGTGCTCTATAGGGGTTCTTATGGCAGTGGCACTCCAGGACGTTTGCTCCGAGCCCCCAGGTCTGACCACATATTTGTGTTTTGCATAGCTCATTTCAATGCCAAACAGGCTGGGGACCTGTCTACCCTCTTTGATGTTGGTGGCATCATAGGTAAGGCCCTTCCCTGTTCTGCCTCAGGTTTCATTCTCCTTTTCTCTTGTGCGGGTGCAGAAGGACAGGACAGGGCCAATGCGACATGACCTGGGCAGCTCCTGCCCAGTTGGGTGGCCCTAAGAAAGTTGGCTCTTGAGTTTGATCTTCACATGAGCAATGGGTGCCGGGAGGGCTTGAGAGGGAGAAGCTCTGTTGGTTCTGGATGCCCATGCCCAAGCTAGCACCGGGTAGAGGATGGGGCAAAGCTTGGGGTGCCATGTAGTGGGAGGCCGTGGCCACACCTGGGGCAGCAACGTGTGAGTTGGTTTGTGTTCTAGGTGGCATCATGGCAGGGCTCATCTCTGACTACACCAATGGCAGGGCCACCACCTGCTGCATCATGCTGATCTTGGCTGCCCCCATGGTGTGTATAACCTCAAGAGTGAAGCACATGTGCTCACATGGACTCATGCGGGCTGTTGAAATGCGGGCATTTATGCACACGCCTGTCTCTTTGCGTGTGTGTCCATCCTTGTGCACACCCAGGGGCGGGGGAGAAGCCAGGGTGAACACAGGAAAGAGATTTGGACTGAGAATTTTGGAAAGGGATTAGCGACGACTTGGCCTTGGTGGAGAAAGGGGAGGCCAGCTGCTAAAGTTCTTGGTCAAGGAGAGTATAGGAAATTAAGGTTAGGTAAGAGAGAAATCTTTGTGAAAAAAAGGGCAACAGTATATTACCATGTGTTGGACCCTCCATCCCTGGGACATTTAAAGACCAAGAGGTCTGGGTTCGAGAAAGAAAAGGAGTAAGGTGACCTCTGAGGTTCCCTGGCAGGAGGGGGTGTGCCAGACTTCTGGGCTCCATCTAACCCAGGCAGCCCATGGGGAAGCCTGGGTGTGACTGTCTCTCCCCTCTCCCCTCCCAGATGTTCCTGTATAACTTCATTGGTCAGAGTGGGATTATCAACTCCATAGGTGAGGGCGTGGATGCAAGTCCTGGCAGCCCACAGGAAAAGCCTTGCCTTGGGGACCCCAGGAAGCTGGCTTGGGGACATCGGTGGGAGGCACAGGGAAGTGGAGGTTCTCAGCCTGATGCCCGGAGGGGGTGGTCTCACCTGCTTTGGGGCTGGGGCTGGTGGCGGTCCCTCATCCGTAACCAGCTGTCTCTGTTACTGTCTCAGTAATGCTGATCATCTGTGGGGCCTTGGTCAATGGCCCTTACGCGCTCATCACCACTGCAGTCTCTGCTGACCTGGTAAGCGGGCTGCCCCCCTGGGGCCAGGGATGACTCTGGGGGCTTGGTCAGGGCCTGGGGGCTCCAGATCCATTTCTCAACATCCCTACCCCCTCCCAGTGCACAGAGATCCTGGCATATGAGATCTTCAAAGTCTTTCAGAATCTGCCATCGGCCCCTGGCCTTTTCTCTCAACTCCAAGCCCAATTGCTGCCTTTCCCCAAGTTAGCCCCACTCCCAGCCCTGGTCCTGCCTGGTGCTGCCTCTCCATTTGGGCCTCCCCGCTCCATTCTCTCTCCCCAGGGAACTCACCAGAGCCTGAAAGGCAACGCAAAGGCACTCTCCACCGTCACGGCCATCATCGACGGCACTGGGTCCATAGGTCTGTGACTCTAGCTTTTGGCTCCTGGCGGCTGAGCCCTGAGCCTTGTTTTTAGCACATTTCTTGGAATGCTGCCCACAGGTGGGCAGGGAGGTTCAGGGCCCCTTGTTGGGTTCCCTTCTCTGACATTGTGTTCTTTGCAGGTGCGGCTCTGGGGCCCCTCCTGGCTGGCCTTATTTCTCCCACAGGCTGGAACAATGTCTTCTACATGCTCATCTCTGCTGACATCCTGGCCTGCTTGGTACGAGTTCTTGGGGTACACACATGGGCACTGGTGGGAGTGAATGTCCTGTCCTGCCAGGCTAGAACCCGGGAGGTCCAAATCATTGGCCGTGAGGGGCTCTGGAACATGAGAACAGCTGCCTTTCACTCAGAACCACTTTCCTCCCATGAGTGAGCCCCTGCCAGGTGAAACTGTGCCCACAACCTTCCTTCCTGCCAGCCCCCTGCTCACCTAGCACCGGGGACTAACCATGTGTTCATTGCTAATATTTCCCTCCCTTCCCTTGGGTACTCGAACTCCCTACAGCTCCTCTGCCGGTTGGTGTACAAAGAGATCCTAGCCTGGAAGTCATCCCTGGGCAGAGACAGAGGGTGAGTCCTCCAGACAGCTATAGCTGTATCCCCAACCTTACCTCTTGTGGGCATTAAAACCAGTGCTCTGGTGCTCAGCACCCAGTCTGAGCCGACCTATAGCCCAGAGTGGAGCCAGACCCTGGATGTGCTCCGTGGCCCCCCCACCCCTACCCCCAACCCTGCTAATGTGTCCTCTGTTGTCCCCATATGTCTCCATAGCTCTAGTCTGGCCCTAACCCACCCGCGATAGTATTTTCCTCAAGTCCCATGACTTTTGTGAGTATTTTCTTCAAGTCGGTGACTAATGTGCCATTAGAATGGGGCCTGCATGCAAATCCTCTCTCCTCCACTGTGATTTTTCCAACTTCCTTTTTGTTTTTCTTGGGGGCCAACTCCAAAGACTCTCTCCCCGAGCAGAGCATGGTGCTTGGGATCTGTTTCCTAAGGAGCCTGAGCTGCCACAGAGGTTGGCAGACTCCTCTCCTTAGGGCTTTGGATGTACCCTGAGGACAGAGGCAGGATCCAGGGAAATAGTTTTCCCTCTGAACTCGGACTCTGAGCCGTACGTACCTCCTGAAGTTCAGAAACCGAGATCATCCGGCCCCTCTGCCTGGGGTGTACAGAAAAAAGCAACTACCAATCAAAGCCTCTGGGAGAAAATTCCGATCAAGTCTCGGTGGTTGGCCTGGTGTGTTCTCTGTGTACTGCCCACTGGTGGCGGGTGTGGAGGCCGCACAGATAGGCTAGTGGCTGAGGCAGAGCCAGCAAGAGGTTGGGCTGTGTGCTGGTGCTGAGGGTAACGCTCTCTCTGGCCTTTCTGGCTCTCCTTTTGAGCAGGAGGCTCTGGCTAATGAGCTGGCCGGAGCCGTGGACCTAGTCCTAGATGGTAAATGTGTGGAAGAAGCCCCTGGGGTCATGCTGACCAGCATCGTATCTGGGGAAGCACTCCCACTTATGGATGGCATCTTCCAGGTTCAGGGGGAGAGGAACTGAGAGCAGGAGGCATTAGCAGAGTATCTATCTGCCTGCCCTGGAGGAGGGGGCAGAGGATCGGCGCTCCTCCCATCTGCCTTCCCCAGGCCAGGCCTGAGGGAAGGCTGGGAGAGGAAGAAGGAAGCAGGAAAGGGGGATGAATACTTGGTAAGCATCTGCTCTGTGCCTGGAACTGAGTCTGACTTCAGACATACCCACTTATCTCTCAGCAACCGTGAGGTTGGTTCTCTGATCTCTAGATGAGAGGCTCAGAACTCATGGAATGTGCCTAAGGCCTTCAGCTTGTCCCAGCAGAGTCTGCTTTGCTCTGTACTGCTGCCATCCTAGGCTGGGCCTTGTCTGCAGAAGGCCAGTGTGTGGGGGAGCGGAGGAACGTACTAGGGTAGAGGGAGCACTGGGCCTAGAACCAGAAATCCCTGGGCAATCCTGACTTCTCTGCTCACTTTCATTTATAAGACCTTGGGCGTATCCTCTGAGTCTCCACATCCTTATGTGTATAACATGGAGATGCTTACCCCTAAATACCCAACAAGATCGATAGGAGGCTGCAATGAGATGGGATATGTAATACTGCTTTGTAAAACTGTCAGATGTGGTACAAACGTTGTAAGGTTTTCGCTATTATCCTGGTTTGCTGAAGAGGTGAGAGGGCTCCCTAATGGTAGAGGATAGGGATGAGAGGCAATTATTAAGGGACCCTACAAACCCATCTTCCCTGCTCTGACCATTGGCTTATTAACCTGTGCCTCACTTTCTCTTCCACTGCGCCTCTCTCCTGCAGGTATAAAGAAATATGAGGCCTTGATTGGAAGAGAGGCACGGAGGGCCCCAGCTGATTCCCAAAGAGCTCTCCCCCTCCCGCCACCGGGGGCAAGACTATGGAAACTGCCAGTGATGGCTGATGGAAGCCTCTTGACCTAACAGCAGCCAGCCCACAGGGCTGCTAAGGGGCTAGGCGATTCTCCATGGGAAGGGACCGCCAACATGGGGAATGGAAGACTCAAGGGCCTGTGCTCTGGAAGCCGCAAGCAGAAAGGACGGGGATCAGAGCTGAGCGGTGTCTCCAGCTTGCTAAGGGGAGGATATGCTCAGACTCTAGCTTGTTCAGATTCCAATACCGAAGGCAGAGGCTTGACATGGACCAAGGCTTGGCAAAGGTGTGTTCTCCTTCCCGTGTTCAGTTTGAACCTCCATGACCAGCCTGTACCTGTCGGTGGATTTCCGACCCTGTTTCGGAGCTGCCCAGCCTCACCTGGCTTCTTCATCCACCAGCCGGTTTTCTCGTGTATTCCCCCACGTTGGAAACTCTTCTCCCTTGCATTTGATCCTGTCTCTAACTCCTGACCTGAGTCGATTAAAGTGTTACTGCTATATCCTCCGGGGCCAGGACTAGGGAGACGCAAGGGAGGTGCCAATGGTGCAAAAGTTAGGGAGGCATCACTCTTGGGCTTGGGCCTGGGCCTGCGCCGCCCTGGAGAGTGAAGGCCTCCCTTGCCTCAGTCTCCTGCCAGCCCTCTGCGTCCCCAGGGGAAGAGCAAACACCAGTGCAGTGCTGGGGAGGGAGGGAGGCATGACTGAAAACACCAGTGTGTGGATGGTAGTTGCAGAGTGCTCACTGCTTGCTAGCCCTACTCCAGGAACGGAGCAGATGGTGGACACGGAGCAAGGACTTCTGCCCTGAGCACAGGCACCAGCGCAACAAGACTAGCAGGAAAGAAGGCTGCGTGGTTCATTCCCGCAGCTGTCACATGTGTAGATGCCTGGAGCGCTCTGCAGCCTGCCTTTTCTCCCCCAT